AAAAACTTGATAAAAGATTAGTTACCGTTTTTGCAGGCTTTGTTCAACCCATAGAAATCTACAGGGTGGTCGAGTGTACCAATTTAATCGAAATTAAACGACCTCATGCATTTATTTTTATGATATTTAGTATGTTATAAAAATATCCCTAGACTTTTCCGATGTGTGTATTTTCCGTATGGACTGGATGGAGCTCAGAGAGTCGGTTATTATAACGTATTTCGGGTAATCTGTTTGTTGCATATAAGTGAGAGCTTGAAACATAGAATATAATTCTCCAGTAAACACGCTCCATGTACTGGGAAGTTTATATTTCATGGTGGTTACTGGAGTGATGACTGCTGCTCCTACTTCTTCATTCATTTTCAATCGAAAAAATTGTTTTCTTTAAGGAAAAAGTGACAGAAAAAATGTGTTCGCATTGCTTTGAGCTTCTGTCAATTATTGATTGTGATTATGTAATACATGTAAAACATTGGCTGAAATGTTTTTTGTTTCAACTGTACTTTACTATCGATAAATTAGAATATAATCTAATCTATTTAGTATTGAATGACTTCAATGAATTTCAATTGAATATTGTGGTTTCTTATGAAGATGCCGATAACGATGAGTTGACATTATTGCACCGATGATCTGCATATATCAAGTGGAACATTTGTTTTCAAGAAATGATACAGTGCCAGATGGTTCATATCTGAGATATAAATAATGTTTGTCTTAGAAACGACAGATGATTGGGCAATATTTCTATACATTTGGGAATAATATCATCAAAAATGATACCACTTATCTCATCATTGTTCAAACAAGAGGGCTATTGAACTTTGCACTGTTTTTTTTTAAACTCAGGATCATGCATTACGTAAATATACTTTTTCATAAGCTGTATGGTATGAACATTTTGTCACCCCGCTGATTTGGAGTTTGGCGTTGTAAAGTTATGAAAATTAAAATTGTAAACTCACCTATTGATTCATTTTGTTTTCATGTGCGAAATTACGAATGCGAAGAAAAAATCTCATCATGAATTAGTGTTTTGAAATATATTAACTGAATAAAATCAAATCCTGATTGACAAAGCTATTGTCAGAACACGTGAGGCGGTTTTTTAAACCTTCCACGGCGAAAATCAGAATGAATTTCACCATTGAATTTTGAATATATTATCATTGTGTATTTCATTAGTTCGGACTTCCATTGTCTAATATAATATGAATTGATTCGAAAACCCTGAAAAAAATTAAAAAGACTAACCGAAAATAACAATTTTTATTAAAAAAAAACTGAAATTACAAAGAAATAACTTACAAGCAGCAACCAAACAAATAAAAAAATTGAAATATTATTAAAAGCTGAAAATAAAAAAATATTATTAACAAAAAATGAAAAATAAAAATTAAAAGATTTAAAACCAAGTTATGTCACGTCGTTTCGATTGTTAGTATCCACAATCGTCTTCGGGTGATAACTGGACTTATTCCTCCAAGTTCTGACTATTTATAGGTCATTCGAGTGCTTTCACCTATCCCCTCTTCCCTCTCTCCGCTTCATTGGTTTTAGCGGGAGATGACCGTTTGTGGGGAGTTGGTCGTTTTCCGCTTGCTTAGAGGTTTCCATATGTTACGTATCTCTACGCTAGCTTGACTAAATGCGTTGTTGGACAACATATACGCGGCTTCCTTGAATTTTCTCCTGAACCAATGTTCCTCTTTGTGGATTATTTCAGCTTGAGCCCACTTGATGTTATGTTGATGAGTCCAAACATGCTGTGCTATTCCGGATTTGCTGGTTTCTCCTGGCTGTGTGTTTCTTGTGCTCAGCAATGCGAACTTTCAATGACCTCTTAGTTTCACCGATGTATCATTCTCCGCACTCGCAGGGTATCCGGTAAATGCAATTTTTGGAATCGCAGTCCGTGTTTGGTGGCCTGGTTTTCGTGAGGCTGCTACGGATAGTGTTCCCAGATCTGAAGCAGGTCCTGATGTTATACTTGGACCCAATCCTTCTTATCCTTTCCGATAATCCTCTGATGTAGGGAAGTACAAGTACTGGTTGTGGCGGCTTCTTTTCCTCATGTAGTTCTTGCTGTCTTATAGCTAAGGCCTGTTCTACCATCACTCTGGACTAACCATTCCGTTGAAGGTCATTTTTGATGATGCCTAGTTCCTTTTCGAGATCTTCCTTTGCATCACAAAGCCCAAAAGCACGGTCTAGTAGAGTCTTGATGATTTCTCTGTTAGTCGATTGATGGTGGTTGGATTTCTGGTTCAGATACTGTTCTGTGTGAGTGGGTTTTCGATATACAGATGTTTCCTATTCAGTGTCGGTCCTCTTCACCAATATATCTAAGAAAGGCAATTCGTTGTG